TAGCAAAATCTAGATAAGTTGATCCGAATAAGATAAGAAATCTAGAGAATAGTTCAGCTATACCATTCACTACATGCAGTTACACACAACCATACAATAGGATGGGATAGGATGATAGGTTTAAAGTCTAATGTAACAGGGTGGAAGGAGAGATTGATAACTGAAGCTTTATCTATCGCATCAACTGCAAGTACATGTAATAGGAATGATTCATCACCTGTCCACGCGGAAATCTAGAAACTTCCACTACCACAATGACAAATAGGAATGTATGAAGAAAAATATAATACTCAAGTTTCGAAGTCGTGTGATTATAATCAAAATTATTATCAAAAATAAATATTTTTCGAAACGTCATCCAGTGAGTACTAATACTGTTCCACTGTGTGATATATCTAATAAAGCAACTAATATGGAATTGCTTACTACCACAGTGCCCAAGTTGTACACATATTTTAATTTCATTAGTTACCTCTGGATTCCAAAATCACTTGTCTATAGGGGTTGAGTATTTTGAATAATGCATTTCCATCTCCTTGCCTACCCTAAATTTTTCTCTGTACGCTTTGAATTTTTCAATTTATCTCACTCTGATTAACACTTCGCCTGACAGCCATACTGAAAATCTAATAACGATATTCCCTACATGTTGACTACACAGTATACAAGTGAAAATAAAAAGTTAGCATCGATATGATTGATAACTCTGCTTTAGATGACTAACTTTCATGGTCGTATATCAGGAGAGATTCACTACTTCTGTATGATACTGTTAACTTTGGAGTAGTATTCAGCCATCAAGTCAGAAATGAAATTAGAATAAGCACGGAAAAGCTAATCGAGCCCTTCTGGGTTGTTTTATAGTTTTGATAATCCTCTTTTCCAACCTCAGTTATTGCTACTGAGGTGACTGAGTCTAATGAGAACAGATCCAACGAGTTTATAGGTCTTTGATTAACTGAATAGTTTCAGTGAGAACAGTGTATGGACATAGCGATAATAACCTCTTGAATAGGCTCTAGAACACGAAAGACAGTTATTACTATGACAACACTAGTATGCCATTCTCTTAACTCTCAGCTAGACTGCATTAAGATGAACAGCTTTCTATCAGGAGTTAGCAAATGGTCTTTGTCTAATGGTATTTTAGACTAAATCCTTCCAAATGTTAGACTGTTAATTTCAGTTTCCGATGTAAAAGAAAGCTAAATGAAACTGTTGGTTCGTATGACCCTTTCAAAATTGATGATAGTGATATAGAAATCAAGTCTGAAGTTAAGTATCTTGGATTAAGTTTTTCTACTGACCTACCCTGGTCTTCCCATGTCTTAGCGATTTCTAAAAGAATATTTCGTCTGACATTTTACATTTAGAAGTTAAGGAAGTCAGGCATAACTTAACCAACACCTCCACTTACAGTTTGTCCCCTCGTGCGTCTTACCTATTCTCCTTCACTGTTCATCCTTATTCTTTCCTGGATTGCTTAAAAAGACTATGTCATACTACGTAGGACTCTGAAGACTGTCAGTCAGTAGGGCGAGTGGTATCCTATCCCAATAGGCCGTATCGTTGACATCGTCATTATCGATAGGTACTTGATTTCATGCAACAAATTTGCTAAAAGAATTTTATTAAGCTGTGAGCACCCACCCTACCCGCAGCTCCAACCTTGTGTCTCCTCAGGTCAGACAAGAAGTCTTTTCAGGAGACTTTATGCACGCACATGTCTAAGTATAAAAATTCCGCCATACCATTGATATAAGAATAAAACTTGGGCACTGTGGTAGAGTGTAATTCCATTATGGGTAAATTTTATTTTGGTAGAGTCTCACAGTGTTATACAGTAATATTTACTGATGACGTGATATGACCTTGATATGACTATGAGCAATAAATTGTGCTCGAAACGTCATCAGTAAATATTACTGTATAACACTGTGAGACTCTATCAAAATAAAATTTACCCATAATGGAATTCCGCCATACCATATTTGGCGCGTACCTTATGTGATTAAAATAGTGTCGGGCATGGCCTAACTAACGAACCTTCTTTGCAATACTAAATAAACCATTTCCTCCACCCTTACAGCATCAACCTTTATTGTTATTGTTCTTCTTATATTTAAAGTCCTCTCAATTTTTTGTTTTTATTTGTTTATTTTTTCATAAGTATGAACATCATTTAAGCTGTGTTATAACTGTTGTTTTTGTATTTCCCCTCACCATGCTGCTATATCAACAGACCATTAGATTCAATAATCTATAACATGTTAAAGTTTCCAAACTGAATCGACAATACTGTTTGAAACAGACTCACTTTTATAATAATAATTATTACTATATTTAATATTCTCAGTTCGCGCTTCGAGTATTTTTTACTTTTTACCGTAAACGTGGACAAATTACTCTGGTTAATTTTGTTTTAATTTTTAATTTTATTTATATTTTGAGTAAATCAGATGCAGTATTGTGACAAATGCTGAGAGTTTCATTCTGTCTTATAAGTAGTGTTCTTTTGGAATAATGTAGATTATTATTATTCGTCTTGAAATAGTTGAGAATGATTTCTGTTCACTTGGTTCATGCACTGCATTTAATAATACTACTTGCCTATTTGTTAGTCTTTTACTCACAATGAAACGGTGTTATTACGTGTTAAATACGTACTCACAACCGAGCATCACAGCTTTCTCACAAATAATAAACGGAATATTATGACTATGAGCCAATTGGTTCCTTTAGTTCACAAAAAAACAGCAACTGCCAGCTCAATAAACATCTCTCAGCAAGACACTAAACTCTATCGATGTTGTCCATGTGATTAGAAAATGCTCAGTTTTGAAGCACGTGATCATGCGAATATGCCAGTTTTTGTATGTTTAAAAACATCATGTTTTCGATGGTTTCATTCGTCATACGTGTCTTCACTCATCTCGTAATGTGCGTCATTAGTTTTCTCACTAAGTATTTCATATAACCATTTTAACTACTCGTAAGTAGTATATTCTTAAAAACGAAAATGTCAGGATTTCATTTTAATCATATCACCCTCTACTGTCGGTTTGCTGGGATTTGATTGGTTTCAAGTGGAGTGATATCAGGAGTGCTGAGAAGCTGTTTCATCTCATCTGAAGAATCTTCAGCGCTACTCACCAGTGACATAATCGATAATCGGTCCCTGGACCTTCAGGTTACGAGTTGAACCACCGGGACAGAATTTGTGAAATATCACGCCACCTCCAGCCAGTGTCATCAGTGCAGGTGCCTGTCTCCTCACTGAACTTGGTGGATGCCACTAAATACGGTCCTTCATCAGACCCTCAGGCAACTTCATCTTGTAGTCAGTCACTGGGGAGAATAGTTTTCACGTGTTGGTTTGCAGGGATATAAGTGAATTAAGTGGAGGTCAGGGACTGATATTAGTTATCATTCTGTTTACTGCTAGGACTAAACACTCATCAAACAAATGTCTAAAAACAACCGTAAAAACACCTCCAATGTAAATTGGTTGATGATGGATCCGCATTTAGTCCTATTTGGTACTTGTCATCTGGAGATGTCAGCATTTCCCAGTGATTGATGGTGTTCTAACTGAGACCCGAATCCAGTGCCTATAGTTTCAGACACCAAAGCGCTATCTGCCGGAATTACCTGGGCCACGAGAGGCACCCTTTTTGCAACGGGTATCAGTTATTATTTAATTCAATTCCCACTTCCCCGTTGACTGACTGGACCAAAAATCTATGACTAAGGCTGTATTGTCGGCTCCAAATAGGACCAAATATGGCTCATCCTGGATTATACTCCTGGTCACTATCCGCCGATTTCTTGAATCTTTCAGTTAATAGTGTTTACTAAGATGTTGGAGCAGAAAGTGTGAGACAAGAAACTTTCAGGCGAAGTATAACACTAGACGGAACATGGATTAGGTCTACAGGAGGTCAATCGCGAGCTTGAATAGCTCAGTGGTAACGTCTCTGACTGCAGCACTGGGTGACGCCAGTTCGAATCTCAGAAGGGACACCAGTTCCCTCAGGGTTGCAGATAAGCCTTGCTGACGAGTGCTAACTAGCACGAAACCTAGGTCCAAGGCTTCCTGCCGATTACCTCCAAACATCTAATACCAACAATGGATTAGATCCTTAAATAGAAGACGATTTCAAAACTGCAGCTTTTGAGATTACAAAACGACTTTCTCCTGAATTTCTCCTACTATTTTTGACTACAGAAGTTTATTTTTCGCCAAAGTCATCATTTATAATGGTACCACGTAGAGAATTTCTTTACAAACAGGGTCCACCATTTGGGGTTTGAGGACAAGCAGTCACCCATGAAACTGTTTGGCGCTTGCGCTATATATGGCAAATTAGCAGAAATTATAACTGATGGCGATTATATGCCGTCTGAGTGGATGAATTTTAGACTAACTCACCCTGTAATCTAAAATTCCTAATTCCTATCCATGGAGGGGTAATGGGTGCACACTTTTGAAGAGGTCCAATCGAGGAGAAAACAGCTATCTAGTACTCTGTGGCTTTCAGTGGCTCTTCAACTAAAGTTAGCTAGTGAACAATTTTGAAATAATTATTTGAAGTTTCAAAAGCTAGTTGTTAATATTTTGAGATTTGTGTCACGAAATGACTCGTGGGGTATTCATATCACATATTTGGATAAGATGGAGGACACCTCTGAATCCTAAAATGGATTGCCCACTAGTTCTTGGTTCTCAAAAGATCTCGAGTGTCGATCGAACGGCGCAAGTGTTCAGGGCTCTCTTCCTAAAACTAGCCCAGATTACCGGCTTATTTTAGCCCCAGAAAGCAGAGAAGGTTGAGTGTGAAGTAGAGTCAGCCCACAATGAGAACAACATACAGTTAGTAAGAATGCTCCTCTAAATCTCTCAAATGAACAGTCACAGCATTAATTACGTAATGTCACTGTAAAATAGCTTACTGTTGTTCCAAAAGTAACACATATTCCCTATCGTTTTACTTTTTCAGGGATCAGATAATTCCAAGAACGGCTATCTACCATAATGAGTGTTAAAGGATTCTTTAAAAATGTGTTGAGCCCAGATGCAAAAGGTGAAGAGGAAGGAACAACCACTGGTGGCACTGCTACTGCTGGAATGAGCAATTTCCTCTCGGGTACATCAAAGTTTTTAGATTCCGTACAAACCAAAAAGAATGGCTTGATTAATGATATATCTAGTAAATTGACTTCATTTAAAATACCCGGAGAACAATCAACGAATGAAAATGTTAAGAAAAAGAGGTCAAAAGAACCTGGGGAAGGCGGTGACGGTGATGATGATGACAGTTCTGCTAGTGAATATGGAGATGATGGTGATCGTCCAATGTATGCTGAAGTAGCTCCTTTAGAACGACAAGTGTCAGTGGAAAGTGTCGATAGTCTACCAGACGATGAAGCGGAGAGGAGGAAGGCAGATATTCGTGCCTTGGTTTCTAATCTGTTACAACAAAGGTAGGTGTTTGTTAGATACGTTTTCTATGAATATTAAATGATATGAGACTAAGTAGTAGTATGGTGGTTTGATAGAGACAATGTGTGTCAACTGAATGTTATTCTCACATGTCCCCCCAGTTCCATTCGGCACTAACAACAGAAAACGATATGTCTATTCGAACATTCTGTTTAATGTTAGAGTCGGAATGTTATTCCCATGGTTCAGTGCTGCATAAGTAACAAAATAATGTATATACTTGAACATTCTATTTCATGTTGTTTGATGTAAACAGAAATCACACGCTCAGTGATTGGTTAACGAATATAAACTGTTCACATATATGCCTATGCCCTGCAACTTTTGATGGAGACATATGGATCTTCTGGCAGAAATTCGAGACTGTTGCGCAGCTGAGCGGCATTCAAGATCTTTGAGCGATGAGGATGTTACTTGGAAGGCTGCTGGGAGATGGGACGATGGCAGCATATGACAGTGTGAGGCGAAACACTGGGGGATACGAGTTAGGGTCACGCAAACTGCTTCCGAATTGGGAAGGACCACACATGGTCACTATGAGATGGGATCACAAATATACGATCAGAAATGAAAACAATGAGAAACAGTGAACGTCAGAGAGCTCCGGAATTCGATACAGCAAGACAAACGAACAAAGTCACCAGCACCAATAAGAGCTAACCAATTTCATTCGAAAGTGTTTGACGGGAGGATGAGTGTGGTATCAGCTGGTTGCAACAGTTTGTGTCAATTTTCACGTCCAGAATCAGGATCATGAGAAAAACAAAATATGGTTCTTTTGATGGAACTATCCTCTCTTCTCGGTAGTAGGACGTCGAGGAAGTGCAGAGAGTCATTGTATTCTCCTAATCTGTTATTCTACGTAAAAAATGTATCCGCCGCATAACCGGCAATTATTATTGCAACGACAATAAGTATTATATTTTATAATCATAAGAACCTGAAGAGGAGAAGTCATTGAAAAGAATATTCTTCGTTCAGGTTGACTTTCAATTCATGGGATATGTGAATGTTTCACAGTACTAAATCTCTCCCATTTGTTATCTATGTTATCACTATGTCAATTAACTCATAATTTCAGCTGTTAACATTATTACCATCATTATTTTACACATTTATTGTACATTTATGACTTTATTGTCACTGATGATGTCAAAAAGCTGTTATCATTAATTTTTGTTCCCTATACCTTGTAATGGTGCCGCCAACAGTTATACACCTCATCCAGCAGTTGTACAACGATGTTGCATACCAATGGGAAACTCACGGAATCATTCGAAGTGAATACGGGAGTAAGACAAGCTGGCTGCCTACTATCTCCAATGATTTTCCTGATTGTGGTAGACTGGATGATGCGACAGACATCGGCCGGCAGCGGGGAAACAGGCATAAAATGAATCCATACTCCCAGCTGGTTTTCCAGTGGTTCTCTAACTGATGTCAGCTCATGATGAAACCCTCCATGCCATACAAAAAACTTGAAGGATCTGGATTTCGCCGATGATACCTGTCTGATTTCCAACAAAATGCAAGATATGCAAGTGAAAAGCAACACGTTGGCAGAAGAAGCATCAAAGATAGGATTTCCTTCAAGTGAAAACAGGGAAAATAGAGGTGATGAAGATACCTGGCCAACAACAACAGACAACAATCAGCATAAATGGGAGCAATCTCAAAGAAACTATCTCCTTCACCTACCTACATGGAAAGCATCATCTCAACTGCAGGCAGATGGAACTGAAGAGGATATAAAAGCGGGGATCGGGAAAGCAAGTCAGTCTTTCATTACTCTCAGGTCTGTGTGGAGAGTAACAGCACTCAGCATGAAAAATGAGATCCAGATTTTCAAATCCAATGTGAAGTCAGTCAGTGCTACTTTATAGACCAGAGACTTGGCGCCACGTCACGAAGGACACTTCGAAAAACTGCAAACCTTCATCAACAGCTTTCTTCGCCCAATAATTCGATCGCTCAAGATCAGATGGCCGGAAAAGATCAGCAACAGAGATCTTTTGGGGTGAATTAACCCAGGAGGAACCAGCTGTGCATGAAATATGCAGGAAGAAATGGAGGTCGATTGGCCATACTCTGAGGAGACACGACAGGCGCTTGCTCGAGTGGAACCCGATGGAATGGGAAGCGGTGATTTGGTCATCAGTGCAAGGGTGACATAGAGGAGGTGATGTGAAGAGGAGAAAGAAGCATGTGAGCAGACTTGGAGCCAGATGAAAACGTTGACAGAGAACCAGACGCAATGGAGACGTGTACCTGAAACCCTATGTTCCTCTAGGAACTGAAGGAAACAATAAAAATGATACCCTGTAATGTTATGCCTTTGTTTTTGTTGAAAAGTAAATCAGATGCAATACTGCATCAAATGCTGAGAACTCAACACTATATCATAAGCACTGTTTTGGAATAAAGCAAATGTAGGTTTTCTTGTACATACTGAACATAAAGTCGATGTTAACAATACTTTTAAAGTCATCTGCCGCATTCCGAAGAACGTTAGTTGTTTCCTGCAAGTCCGTCATTTATGTTATTATAGTAATATCCTGTAGATGTTATCCAAAAAGACACAAAATTATTTTCTCTACTGAATAACTGAAACAGTAACATATTTGATGATAATTAATGTCTCACTTTTTGCCTTCTTTCGTCTCATACAGTCGTATAGATGAGAAATCGGTCAAAGATTTCCGTGATTTCATCATGGTAAGTCGATATACTTCTGATTTATAGACCAGATTATCTGCAGGTCATTTTTACATGTCTGTTTGTATTTCTCTCACCTCACAATTATTGATTAATAACCAAATTTTCTCTCTCCCTACTTATGACCTTTGAAATCTTATTGATTGTTCACTGTCGCAATCTATCAATGCAATTAGTGCTTCTCAAGGTCATTTTAAACACTTTTTGCGGCCCAGCGGTATTACTGTTGTTAGACAAAGCATTAAGAAGACGTAATTTGTCTGAATCGTGTATTGTGTATTTGAGAAACACTTATTTCGAACAATATGATCACATTCCACTGACTTGTCATAGGACTGTATATATATTAAACTAATAAGGCTTTAAGAGGTAAGAAAATAAATTTAGGTTAAGTCAAAAGGACATATTGAAGGTCAAAATAACAATGAAGATCATTTAACCAAATAAAAGAAGTATTAGTACATCTACACTGGCTAGTATCAAAACGAGGTTTACCAAGGAAGGTAGGTTTAGTGTGATGACGAATTGTTGCTTTGAACGCATAAAGGTGGTTCTAAACTTCCTAATTGCCAGCAAAGGCTTCCACAAACTTTAGGATACGCCCCAAACACGTTTTATAGATACGTTTAAAAGATTGTTTGAAATGTGTTGAGCTAATATACATTACACGATTCAGGCAAATTACGTCTTCTTATTGCTTTGTCTGAATTCATAAAGGGAACTAATTGTTTTAAAGTCATTGTTATTGTTGTCGAACTGTGATTAGGACAGATCAGCCAGCACAATAAGTTAGTATTCGCTCATAGTCCACTAGATCATTGTTCCGGTCATAACCACTTCATGCGTCTGTTAAACGGGCAGGCATCCTGTTTTCAAATACTTTCGTCTACTTAACGATGAAACGGTTATCACTGGATGTTAATTGGACAGTTAAGACGACGTGATTCCAGAAATGACAGTTTTATTTCTAACTAGAAGGTTTAGCTAGTAGTGATAAAAAGGTTTATAGCTTATAATTTCTTCGAGTTTCCTAATAGACGATGACATGGTCTAAGATTTCGTTCGAAGGGGAATTCATTTCGCTATCCGTGAAAAAACCCAGGTTTATTGGGTCTTTTTTTCTGATGATCTTATCACCTGATTGATGAAAGAGGTTAGTGATAGGTGAAAAAAAATTTATAGCTCATATGTGAAGTGATTCACAGTGGAACACTAGGTGGTGCTTTTGAAGTGAAAACAGGAGTAAGACAAGATTGCCAGCTGTAACCAGTGATATTTCTGATTTCGGTGGACTGGAATATGTGGCAAGCTGTGGGGATGAGAAGACAGGAATATGATGATTCAAAGAGAAAATTCTGCAAGATCTGAGTTTCCTGAATGATTTATGTTTAGTGTCACATAAATTCAAAGATCTACGGTCAGAAGTTCAGAATTTGGTATCAAAGACAGGACTTCAGGTGAATATAAATAGGCGAGTGGTGATGGTGAAATCCACCGACCAACAAAACTAACAACAACAAGCGTCTATCGCTATCAGTGGGAGAAATTTGAAGGAGGTTATCACTTTCACTTATTTAGGCAATATCGTTCCAGTTACAGGCGGAATGGATGAGGAAGTCAAAGCCAGCCAGGATCAAAAAAGCACGACAGAGCTTCATCAGTCTGAAAGCAGCATGGAAAGCGGCTGCACTCAGATTATAACAACAAGATTAGGATTTTCAAAACTAATGTCAATTATTTCAATGCTTATGTATGATTCGAAGAATTAAAGCATTTCCAACAGGCTGAAACTTTCCATCAGTAGCCGCCTTTGCTTCATACTAAAGATGCGATGGCCTGAAGGGAGGGGAAAATGGCAACTATGGATAATCGTGGTGCCAGTTTAAAAGTACTGTCAAGAACAGACTGAAGTGTAAATGTGTGCTGTTGGAGCACTATATCCCAATAAGGTTCCAAGAGAATAATAATAGTAATGGTGCTTTATTATTATTATCTCCTTTAATTCTTAGAGGAACATGGGGATTCAGCCGCATATCTCCATTGCGTTCGGTTCTCCTCCAACGTCTTCACCTGGCTTCACGTCTGCCAAAATGCTTTCACCTCTTCTTCACATAACCTCCTCTACGTCACCCTCGCACTGACGACCAACTCGCCGCTTCCCATTTGGGTTCCACTCGAGCAATGGCCTGGCGAGTAACTGCCACTCACTTGGTGGTTTATTTTCTCAGAGTATGGCCAATGCACCTCCATTTCTTTCTGCATATTTCTCGCACAATCGGTTCCTGCTGTATTGGTTCATTCGCTGCCAGAGATAACTGTTGCTGATATTTTCTGGCCGGCCATCTGATCTTGAGTATTACTGGGCGGAGACAGATGTTGATAAAGGACTGTAGTTTGTTTTAGGTGCTCTTCATGACGTGCGCCAAGTCTCTGATGCGTATACAGTAGAACTGACTGACTTCACATTGCAGCTGAAAATCTGGGTCTTATTTTTCATGCTGAATGTTGAGTGTTTATCTCCACACATACTTGAGAGTAATGAAGGCTTGCCTTGCTTTCTCCGATCCTCTCTTTGATATCTTCACCAGTTCTATCTGCCTGTAGTTGAAATGATACTTCCCAGGTTGGTCGGTAGATAGAGGAGGTTGCTTCTTTCAGGTTCCTCCTATTTATTCTGATTGTTGTCTGCTGTTGTTGCTGTTGGTGAGGAGCCTTCATCACCTCTCTCTTCTCTATGTCCACCTGAAGTCTTTGATGCTTCTTCTTTGGCCAACTTGTTGCTTTTCATTTGCATATCTTCTAGTTTGTTGGAAATCAAACACATATCATCGGCGAAGTCCAGATCCTCCAAGTTTTGTGTGTATGAGTTTCATACGACCTCTAATCAAGATTTGACCGAATATTTCCACGAACATTAGCCCCAAGTGAATAGTAAACTATGTATAGTATTAATCCATACCTCGTAATTTCTTTGACACAAACGAATCGTCAAGTGTTAGACTTTGCCTAGAATAAATTGGCTTCTTTTCTGAAGCCCTGGCTATATCGCATTCTGTTCAATTTGACTCCCAAGTATGAAGTCATTTATGAGGCTTTATCCAATCTGAAGTCCATATGTTAAGCGTCATTTTGCTGATCACACATCAATAAGTCTATTCGGAACCTACTTCTGAAGAAGAAATTAAGCGGTTTAATAATTTTAGTACACAAATTCAGCCAGGAATATGAATTTAAAAGTGTCAATATTATACAAGATAAACGTCTAACTTGGCCTTTATAAAAAACGTGTTTTAACCTACTCTCTGTCCACTCCCAAACTTAACCATCTATCGTTTTTTGTCTATTTAGAGACATAGTGGTCGTTCAAGATTTGCTAAGGAGTTGAAATCTCAGGTAAGTTCACATATTTTCTGAAAATAAAAACAATTTACCTGACAAAACCATACTACTTATTAGTAATACTAGTAGTATCAGCAGTAATCTGTTAAATGAAAATGTAAAACTATCCATCGGCAAGTAGTTCAGATGTTAGTGCGACGTATGATTTCGTCTCACATTCAGCTATTCCATATTTATTGACCCTTTACATCTCATTTAAGATCGAAGCATTTCATTCGCCTTGATTTATTCAAAGTTGTCAGATAGATCTAGTTTAATTTTGGCATTATTAGTCAATGGAGATTTGATTAATTTCAATTTAGCGAGAATATTCATTCAGACATCTAGGAAAAAACAAAATAATTGAGCAAAGAATATCCCCCTTTCGATAATTTCCTCCTCTTCTGGTGCTACATTTATATACGTATATGTTAATATACATAGAATATTCTAGAATAGTAGTCAATAACAATATTAGTGTTTTTTAAATAATATCGATTTGTTAAGTAAGATCACAATGGAATTACCACAGTTCATTAAAGATGCTTAAACCATAATCATAATAAAGATATAATAGCAAATGGAACATCAACTAAAATTAAGGAAATTTCTACAAACATAATTGAGGACCATTCGGACCTAGATCGCCGAGTTAAGGACAATGTCTGAACCAACCAACATCTTTTGAATACATAAATTAGGCTTCTTAATGTGGATCCCAGCGGCCAGCCTCAGCAATATTTAGTAAACGAACTGTTAAGGCGAAGTTAAGATTTGTTAGTGTGCGTTAATGACTTTGAAAGCTGCCCCGTTGACATCAATCTTGTGTTCTGTATCCACAAGATGGGATAGAATAGCGGTACGAATATATTTTGTTTGTCCTTTACTTAACGTAAGTTGAGAACCACTGATAACCAAGGAGCCGTTGACGGTTGTTTCATCCGCAGTGAAATTTCTCACCTGTACATAGAGGTTATTGGAAACCATCCAACTGGCTAAGTAGTCAACAGGTTCACATTTTAACTTCAAGTCCTGTGGTTTGTTTCCTGGTGGCGTCACGTGTGAGGTTTCAATAAAAAGCTATATAGTCAATCTTTTAAAGGGGAATATATTGTAAGCGAAGTTGATATAGTCAAATATAAAGCACATAGGCAGTCTTAATATTCTAAACGTTACATTTTTATTGACCAAACCTGTGTTTTCGACGGATTTTTCGCCCTTATGCAATTCTCGTCATGAAGGAATAGGAGCTATGGAGCATCCAGAAACATTTAACTCATTTCATGTTTTCAATAACCTTCTAGAATAGGTGACTGGTAACATTTGAAACTGTATTATGAGTCAAAGTTACTGATATGCACTATTGACTATTTCCTTTATTGGACACTAGTTAACTGTTGTCATGTATCTAGTCATATGGCTGATGCAAAGTGTAGTCAATCAATCAAGTTTGCAATGTGGCCGCCCGACATGAAAGCAATCGAAAGTGATAACTTCTCTAAATTCAGCACAGGATGATTCGGGTTTGAATTTTAGAATAGACATGAGTACCTTCAAGTTTTCACATACGCCTTGCTGATGAGTGTTAATAAGCACGAAACCTAGGTCTAGGTGTTCCTACTGATTGCCCTCGACCCTCCTTAAATCAGCTGCTGATTATTAAATGTGCAACTTATATGAAGTGGTTGGGAAAGCACTCTCTGTCTACACTGAATAACATTACTGCATCGCTTGGTTCTGTGACTGTAATGCATACCCTTATTGAAAACTTTATTCTGAAGTCGATAGTGAATAGACACCATCACATTTATTATCACTCTGTGACCTTGTGATGAAATATTTGAAAATTCGTCTATCTGTCTAATTCTAAACATTAAATTCATATGAGCTGTACTAAAGACGCATAGACATGGAAGTTTTGATCAAAAATTCGATTTGACAATTACTGCTCTTCATCTTTTACGAAATCCCACAATTCCAATAATATTAACAACACAGGCAACGTACATGTAACTCGCGATATTAGGAATAATGTTATATTACTAGCAAAATATTCAGTAGGCGGGAAGTATATCCCAAAAATTCATGAGAAACACATGGGTCAAGTTTAGCCGATGATTGTCAGTTAAAATTAGGGAGGTGCTTGGATGCGAAACGCATTCGTACGTTACAGTAGGCATCCGCGTTTCGAAGTAATAATATAATATTCAGAAAATGTGGAAAACGTGATTTACAGCACGAAATATTGATTTTTGAAAACGATAGTTACGTGGATCAACGTCAGTCGTTGCTGAGAAGGTCATCCTTCGTAGAACCGCAGATTTTGTAGAAAAATAAAATGCAGATGTCTACTGCTAGCAATTAGTCAAAATTATGAGATGTATGTTGGTTTGACTATATCTTACTGACTTCTTTGAGATAATAGTATTGGAGGGAGTGAGTTAATTTCATAAAATGAAAGAATGCTGGCCTATGTTTTTCAGCATCTCCTTAAGGAAGTTAATTTCCCTTTGAATAACGTTGACTGCCGACGCCTTGTGTTAATGGAAGATATCATTTATTGGTCAGTGAAGATATTTAGACTAGTCTTTAGCTCACTGATGGTTAATAGGTGGATGTCCTGAAACTATAATAATGACACGTCAACACTTGGGTCCATCAAATGAAGGTGAAGTGGATTCTCATCGGAGTCGCAGGTCGAGAGGGTATCGCTACATCACGGTCTAGAAAATTTAGAATTTGCGGTCTGATAAATTTTAACTCAACCGTCTTGACTGTCAACTACGTAGGTTTGGTAAGGCGGAAGTTTCCTGTTCGATCTCTTGTGAGGTCGTGATTGCACAGTGTTGAAGGGTTCCCGAATTGGGCTATATATCTATTCAATCCTTCTTGGTTTTTGAAGATCTCTCTTTCTGACTTTAGCGTGTGACGAAATCTAACACTTGAAGTTATATTACTGAAGATGTTAATTTACTAATCAAGTTAGAAGTCTTATATGAACCAGACAACACTTACTATAACTGATGTAGGTAACCCTTATTAAGGGAAATGATAGATATGCTATGCATTTAGCATAATGAGTTCGTTGCTTGCAATCTGCAGAGCCCGTTAGAAAGAGGCTCTTCTGTGGAATACTTGTTTTGTTTTAGCTACGGCTGCAATGGGAATTGTTCATGAATCTGTATATGGACGCGATCACCAAACTTCTTGATAGAAAATTTGTAATACGACTCATGCTACTTACAATATTTATTAGTAGGTAAACTTTGTATTTGAAAATAATCTGTAAGATTAAAAGCCGCAGACTATGCATCACGGTTTAGTTGTCATCAAGATGAGGAATCAGTTAAAGAACCTTAGAAAACCAGAAAACCAGATCTTTATTTAATAACCTGGTAGAATTAGGACTACGGATTTCTGAAAGTTCCTAAACCAGGATGTGGCAGTTGTCCAATACTCCTTGGTTTTCATCAGTTCAAGAAGTCATTTCAGTTCGTAAAGAAAATTACACCGAAGTTTATCAAAATGCACATAGTGATTGAAATCTGAACTTATATATTAAGTATAACGAGGTTTCATTGCTATCTGAATAATAAGATTATTGATTTTGCAATAATGGAATGACTATTTTGATTGGGCACTAGTAACTAGTGTGGTGTGCATGGTTCTTGGCGTTGGTGCAGACTGAATTCTATCAGTCTGCACTGTAAAGTGGTCACCATTCTAGGTAGCTCACCATCACGGTGCACATTGATTTGATGATATTAGGTGGTTGGAGGCAGTCGGCAAGAAGCCCAGCCTTGAACCTAGGTTTCGTGCTAATTGGCACTCACCAGTCAGCAAGGCGTGTCCGCAACCAATTTGAAGGAACTCATGTCCCTTCTGAGATTCGAACCCACGTCACCCAGTGAGTGCTGTAGTCAGAGATGTCACTACCGAACTATCCAGGCTCACGATTGACTAGACGCATTACACTAGTTACTAGTGTCCAATCGGAATATCCACTACAGTCCTACAGGAAATCATTCGTGAGCCCGAATAACTTAGTGGTAACGTCTCTGAATACAGTTATCACTGGGTGACGGAGATTCGAATCTCAGAAGGGATATGAGTTCCTTCAAGGTTGCAGATACGCCTTGCTGACTGGTGACTGCCAACTAACATGAAAGCTAAGTTGGATTGGGCTTCCTCTGGCCGACTGTCTCCAAACATCTTATGGAATGGTTAGTTCTGGATAAATAGTGTATTAGACATATTAGAAGACGAACAATTTTCAATTGATTTTGATTTCGATTGGAACATATCTATTCATATGGATTTGTTATTTTCTATCCTACAATATAGACTAGAGCAATGAAAGCTATATCGAATCAAATACTAGAACAGCTGGCATTATTCATTGGACCGTTATTAAATCAGTGTAATGAAAATGAAGACTATGCGCCAGCCTACATAATCATGCAGTTAAGCTTTACATTATACTATGAAAGTAAGTTATTTTCAGTGATAGAAGTAATATATGCAAAGCTGTTGACTGAGCGTATACCATCACGTGGTTAGACATCTGTTAACAAATTTTCTCAATCTAAGAGAGTCAGCGGTTCAATAGTAGGACTGATAAAAGGATAAAACTTGGGCACTTTGATGGTAGAGTATAACTCCATTATAGATAAGATTTTATTTTGATAAATCACACAGTGTCGCTGTACAATAATATTAACTGATGACCACGTTTCAAACACAAATTATTGCCAATCATACTCATATCGGGACACTTACACAACTTTGAATAAAATAACTATCCTATAAAATTCATTAGGAATATCAAAAAAGGTGAAAAGAAAATTTAAAATGATGGTGAAACTAATAATGATAACAAAAATAAGAGAGAATATAAGGCATCTACAGTAGGTTTTACCTTATAAGGAGGGGACATCTGAGACCCTACGTAGGATTCTCAATAAAGCAGGAATTAGAGTGGCATTTAAACCAAAACACTCACCCAGAGACAAGCTCTGTAGACTGAAGCACACTGTCGGTCAACCCACTTAAACAAAATAATATAATTTACAAACTACCTTGCAATGACTGTGATTGAAGTCAACTACATAGGTCAAACTAGTAGATCGTGAATAGTGAGATTATCAGAACATAAGAATTTATTGGCTAAGGTTAGAATGATTCATCCCATGAAGACAAATGAGTAATTCAGAAAAAAACTCAGCAATTTCACTGCATGCATTAACACACAACCACACAATTGGGGTGGGTGGGACAGAGTCAAAATTCTACAGAATAATATAGGTAGGTAAGTGGGTGGAGAGAGATATTTGATTACTGAATCCTGCCTGGTTCATTGAGTCTACATCCAACACATGCAACAGAAATTCCTCAATGCAAATACCAGAAATATGGAAGATATTATTACCGCCAGTCAAATCAGAATAGGATAATAAATAATCTCAAAATTCTATTTCAATTCAAGTACATCACAACATTCTAACACGTTACCTATTTTGACTATAAAAGCACTCGCCTTATTTCCCATCTGATTGTATTTGATTGATAACACTAATATTACTATTTCTGAATGCACTTTATCTTATGTTGATTTTATTCAAATGTCTAGTCAATTTCACTCATGTATATAAATGAAGTGAAAATTTTTGTGAGTGAGTGCCTTGATATGATATGAGTAGCAATAATTTGTACTTGAAACGTAGTCATTAGTTAATATTACTGTACAACACTGTGTGATTTTATTAAAATAAAAATTTTATTCAATAGCAGAATGCCTGTTAACCAGGCACGTGGTTCAGGTTAGATTCCCGACTGGTGCACTCGCAAAATTTCCCCTAACTGGTATTTAGTGCATAAAAGAGGGAAAGATCAGCTTGCACATAGCAACCCTACTCAGTTTTCAAAAGATACTGCTGCTACTGCATCTTCAAAGTTGAAGCTTGAAGCCATAAGTTCCACTGAGAACGCAATGGCATTGAACTGACAGAATTATATCATCTGAGCCTTCTGAATAAACTTGATCTTTGCCTCAACAATATGCTACTTCCCATGGTTATCAGTTAAAAAGTTCTGCTGATATACCTTTTTTCCACAATCTGTCTTATTGTTCCGTTCATCTTCCGCTAAACGCATTACCGACAGACCGCAAGGCGGAATTCTAGATCAGGATCTGCCGACTATTATTTGAAAAAAGGCGAAACAACGTACTGTACAGAACACGATATCACCATAGTTTTTTCTCGTGGGCTTCTGTTCATCTGAATAAACCCAAATATTGTCTATGTACAGAAAACGTTTTACTTACTTGCAAAAATGACATGTTGTCAGTTAATAAACACAATCCAGAAAATACACTTATATGGTTATCCACAGATGATTCAGACCATATGGAAAAGACAGTATGGAGCGAAGACACCTGTTGATGGAAATCTGCAGTAGCTTGTTGAAAGTACTTCTTGTGAGGCGTCAGGTCTCTTAACCTTATGGAAGCACTAAGCTAACATTATTATTGAAAATCCGCATCCTATTTCTTTAACCATCTACCAGTTTATTCTCAGCAATACAGGTTGTAATGACAGCCATTTGTGAGGATTTCATCTTAGATCTTGTTCCTGGAAAAAGTTCACAGAGCGGTTGACAGTCGGTTCCGCCTGTGTTATGATTAATGTTCTCTTATACGTGTAAAACTACTCCTCATATGAATCAAACTCAGTTCAAGTGATATGCACTACATGATAAAAACTTTTTCCGTTGATCTAAAAGGAATAATAATAATAGTGATGATTATGCTGTTTACAAAACAACTGGAGAGGTGAAAGGTCTAAGAAATATGTGGGTAGTCTTTTGTTATTAATTATTATTCCCTTAGGTTCTTGAGCGGAACTTAAAGCTTCAACAGAACATTTCTATTCCACCTCGTTCTCTGCAGTCCTCTTTAAGTGGCTCCATGATTGCCTATAACGTTTTATTTTCAACTTACAGTGCATCGGTGGCACAGCTGTAGAATGGTCGCCAACCAAGCGTGTGGTTCGGGGTTCGACCACCGGCCACAAACGAAATCCTTTACCTCCCTAAGCCAGTAGTAAGACTGGTAAAAAGGGAAGGTTGGGCATAAGGCTGGCTAGCAACCCCACCCACTAAAAATAATCACCACTGCTACAGAAACTTCAAGCCTATAGATTGAAGGCATCCTATGTTCCACTGGAAACGCAAAGGAATAATAATAAAAAAACCTAACACATGCCCAACTTGTCGTTTCCTTTCGGGCTCCTGTCACAGGCTATCATTCAACATTCTCTTCTATGTTTATCTTATTCGTCTCCATTTCCTTTTGCACATATTATTTGTAAGTTCTGCCCATATTTCTTTACTGCTGCCCCACCCTTAATCTCTCCCGGGCTATTTAAGAAAGCCTTCGTTATATTGCTTAGGGCAACAAAGGCCGTCAGTAAGGTGTTTGGGGTGCTGATAAAGCAACTACTTAATACTATTGTAAATAAAAACGTGAACGTCTGCAAGAAACTAACAAAAACTGTCTTGTTAGACTCTAAACATCCTGTCTATAGACAACTCTCTCTGCTTGCATCTCATCGGGTAGGGGGTTAGAAGCAACTACAGAAAGAAGAATGTATGCCAGGACGACTAAGTACAAAAACTCTACAAAACCTTATTTGGTAGGCACAAATTTTATGTGATGAGAGGAGTGTAAGACATGACATTACCAGCTTGCTGAGTAACTGTAAGTAAGTGGTCGTATTTTGTTTTCGTTGTTAAATTGTCATTAATATTTTCACTTAATTTTATGTTCATTTTCTTATTCCGAAATGTTATCAATGCGAATGGCCTGATCTAATAATTATCCCTGTAATGAGGAATTTAGATGCAGTACTGTACTACATGCTGAATATTCCACATTTGTACGAAAGCTACTGTTTGGAATAAAGCTACTATTGTTTTTTTACAGGACTGCATCATGAACTGACATCGGTTAGAGAACCATTGGAAAACCAGGAGGAAGTACTGGACATCTGTTTCGTCAGCTTAGTTTGTGATTCTTCACAATACGCACCCGCCATCAGGGTTCGAACACAAAACTTTCTGGCTACAAGGCGAGCTTGCAGACCATTAAACCACTGGGACTCGATCTGGTGACCCGCTAGAACCCCAGGTGAAATGAAATCCTTTAACCAGTCAGTCAGACCACTACAAGCCAAGGCTTTATTATCAATGAGATGCTCACTAGCGACTGACCCTATTCAGGTAGGTAGTTAGCTGGGGTTCTAGTGGGAAGTTATGACTAGTGGAGTACAGCAGAGTGGGTGTGAGGACAAATACTCGCCACTGATCACATTGGCTAGCGGTCGTGCTATGTCGTGAATTGGCAGAGGTTGGAATTCATGAACTGGTCCCAGTGGTCGCCTTGTAGCCAGAAGGTCCTGGGTTCGAACCGTTGCGGTGGGTGCGTATTGTGAAGAGTCAAAAACTAAGCTGACGAAACAGATGTCCAGAACTCCCTACCGGTGTTCCAATGGTTCTCTAACCGATGTCAGCTCATGATGAAATCCTGTAACCAATCAATCAAATCCCTAGAAACCAACGCTACTATTATTATTAAACAATGCAGACCACTGAGAATTTCATCAGTTCCTTCTCATGTCATCCTTCTTGTTTACAGGTGTTTCACCGAATGTCATAGTCACGCAGAAGTATCTTTATGCATTACTGAAAGAACAAGTGATTTGGCAATCGATGAGATTTTGGAATGCTGCTTTCTTCATTGCATTACAGCGTGAACGTGCTGAACGTCAAGCTTACATTGTGTAAGTAGGAATGTTTTCTTTTTTGCATGAATGTATATGCGTGTATGTATGTGAATAGTTTATCGATTTTAGGATTGACGACAGCTTTTGATATACATCCCTACCTGAAAACTCCAATTTGTCAGATAGTAGTCTCACAATTGAAAATGCCGTAAAATTAGGTATTATTCAAACTTATCTACGATACTGGTGATCTACTTAAGCCACTGGGCTACTTGAATTTCTATCCAACAGAAACATTTTATGATTTTGATTGCTTTAACCACTCAGTTATATGTTTGAGTCACATAACGTACTCGATTATTATATATAAAATTATTGTTTCCTTTAGTTCCTAGAGCAACATGGAGCTTCAGCCTCACGTATTCATTGCGTTCGGTTCTCCACCAACGTTTTCACCTGGCTCCAAGTCTGTTCATATGCTTTCATCTCCCCTTCGCATCACCTCCTCCATGTCACCCTCACACTGACGACCAAGTCGCCGCTTCCCATTTGGGTTCCACTTGAGCAATCGCCTGGTGTGTGATGTCCCTTGATGGGTTTCTCGGAGTATGGCCAATCCACCTCCATTTCTTCCGGCTCATTTGTTGCACAATCCGTTCCTGTTAGGTTGGTTCGCTCCCAGAGATAACTGTTGCTGATCTTTTCTGGTCAACCATTTGATCTTGAGTATTGAGTGAAGACAGCTGTTGATGAAGGTTTGTAGTTTGTTCGAAGTGCCTTTGTTGACGTGGCGCCAAGTCTCTGATCCACAAAGTAGCACTGACTGACTTCACATTGGAGTTGAAAATCTGGGTGGTATTTTTCATGCTAAAAGCTCCTGACCTACACACAAACTTGAGAGTAATGAAAGACTGCCTTGCTTTCCCGATACTCACCTTGACATTTTCATCAGTTCTGTCCGCCTGTAGTTAAAACAATTGTTCCCACGAAGTTATAGGAGGTTGATGTTTTCATATTTCTGCCATTTATGCTAATTGTTGTTGTCTGTCGTTGTTGCTGTCGCTATTGGCCAGGAATCTTCATCACCTCTGTTTTCTCTATGTTCATTCGAAGGCCTATCTTTGATGCTTCTTCTTCCAACTTGTTGCTTTTCATCGCTAGCATATCTTTCAGTTTGTGAGAAATCAGACATATATATGTATATCATCGTCGAAATCCACATCCTCCAAGTTTTCTGTGTGGGTCCATTTTATGCCTGTCTCCTCGTTGCTCACTGTCTGTCTCTCTCGCATTATCCAGTATACAGGAATCAGGAAAATCATTGGAAATAGTAGTTAACCAGTCAGCCTATTTTACTGTCGTCTTCACTTCGGAGGATTCCATGAGTTTCCCGTTTTGGATTGGTCGGCATGCAGCATTGTCATACAACTGTTGCATGAGATGTTTAATTGTTGGGGGCACCCCCTGGTAGCGAAGTGGTTTCCAAATCACCTCCCGATCGGTGCTATTGAAGGTCATTTCAAAGTCGATGAAGTTGAGATAAAGAGGTGACTACCATTCCAAGCTATGTTCCATGATGACCCGTGGTGTTGCAGTTAGATTGATGAACGACGTTTTCTTCCCTTAATCCAGCCTATTCCGGTCAAACTATTGATGTGCTTTTCTATGTGACGGACGAAAAGTATCATAAAGGATTAGTCGATGTTTCAGAACGGATGACATTTTATCTTCCGTTGTTAAAACGTACACATACTTAGAGGAGGAGGCAGAATGAATTATCGAGTGTCCCTTAACGAAATGAATTTAAGGATAACTTCTTTGTATTGATTTTAATACAGGTTATTTTTGCAATCTACTCAAATCATGAATAGAGCAAATGACTGTGATAATTATCATTAATTTTATTTAATCCTTTACGTTCCGAGTGTAACATCGTCACATTTTCTGTAGCAACGGCTTTGTTTGTATGAGGTGGGATTGCTAGCCTGACACCTGGCCTTCTCCATTAATCGAGCTTCCTACCCGCTTAGTGGGTTTTAGGAGTCACTCAACTGGGGATTGAACCCCACGCCACGTGAGTGGTTGGCGAGCATTCTACCGCCAAGCGAACAATGAATTAATCAATATTATACTCGTAAGATTTTAAAGTTAGTCGTTTTGAAGTTTCTCAGCCTATGACGTAATCGAATGTCCGAAATGCTGTAGATTCACATACACACCTAAACGCAGTCTTTAGGTCTTATATTTCGCTTTGGTGTCGTTCTGTAAAAATAAATACCTCTGCATAGCATGTATTTGTCCATTTCTGTTGTTGATATCGCTTCAAAACGAGCTGAAAACAGAAGGCTTCAATAGCACTGACCAATAAGTCTTTGAGGTCCGCTTAAATCACTGGGAATTTCCATGCAACACAGTGGCGTCGTATTTTCTCTAATTCTTATTGTTTTAACTGTTCGACTATAACTTTGAGTCGTAAAATGTACTCATGAACATTTTTAATTGACTTTCCAACAATTGGTGTGAGTTCCTTGGAGAAGAAGGAAGAGTATCATCTAAGATTAGTCTGTGCTTCAGGTAGAACAGCAGAGCGGCACATGACATTACTATAGACTGAAATTGTACCTGAAGATCCCGGATGAAGAGAAAGTGTGTTGTGCATTAAAATACGCTGAGTATTCAGTCCTCTGCCAACAGTCGCCATTGTTGTCTCCTGCCACATGTAGATCAGTTCGAATAAACAACCGTTCAGTAATTCCTAACACTGACAGCTGTTATTATGAGATGACATAGAGCAAGTATAATACCATATAGAAAGCAACTATAGACTTGCATTACGAGCCGACCGTCTTTGCGGAATTCCCAGACCCAATCACACCTTATTTTCTTCATAGAAGGCAACTAATAAAGAGTGAAATCAATGCGGGTTCCATCGCAGACTGACATCAGTTACAGAACACTGAAGTTGGAGGAGTACTGGGTAGCTGTTTCATCCTAGTTTTGAACTATTCAGAGGTGCACTGACGACTGCACCTAAGACTCCGTGAACTGGAGAACTTTGATTCGACTGGAAAGTGCCAAACCAGACTGAAACAGGTATCCACTATCCTGTGGCCGATTTGTGAAGGAATCTGCCATTTGAAAGAATCAGACCTCCACAAGCTATCAGCTTTTCAACCGATTTATTTTCCATCCTTTTCTTTTAACCTTTAGTCATGAAAGTGAAGACCCAATAAAAGCGGAGGCAGAGTTTCAGAATGATATCGCTTATACTCAATTGAGGTAAGTTGTCCAGTGAGTCATGTGTGAGATATTTTCACACAATTTTGCGTTTGGCTAAAAATCAATTTTATTCTCTATCACTTATGAATGGAACTTATTTTCACTTCTGATCCGTTTATAGGGATCTTCATCTTCAGTGAGTTTAGAATTCTGTCTATTTGAAGAAACATAAAGATAACATCCAAATGACTCGATCTGTGGTTACTTTCTGGGAAGACTCCGCGAGTGCCTACAGCCAGAAGATCTCAAGGTTGGGATGAAACGCGCTTTCAGTGTACTTCATATCCAATGACTTTCCAAGTCACACAGCATTTTGAGTATACAGACATGAACCTATCTGCTGAGACTACTCTCTGGATTAGTAATAACTAAGTTGAAGGCGGAAATTGCGAGGATATGATAAGTGTTTCCTTGAACTGTGGAGTAAATGAAGATGGAATATAAGTGAGATTACGTAGCGATGACAATGAATTTGAGAAAGGGTTAAATTGACAGTTAGCCAGAATGGAATGCGATGGCTTTGCTGCAACCGACTTACCACAATGTCTTTGGTGGATGGTGTTAAAAAAGTTCCAGACTAGCACAAAACATCTTTCCAGAGCTAATTAGTGTCTACTGCTTCTTTAACCGTGGCTAGTTCTTGATGTGGTTAACTCTGAGTGGAATTAGAAAAGACGGTAGACACAATAGAACCTCCACAAAATTGGTTAGTTTGAGATGCCAGTGTGATGGACAATTATTCACACAAGAAATGTTGTTGTTTGCGTAAAAGCTTAATAATTTATCGTAGTTAAAGAGTGCGTCGGTGTTTCACTGGTCGAATGCTCCTCATTTAAGATGTCTGGGTTATTTTCCCAATCAAAGCACTCCTAACACTCATGTACATTACCGGCTGACAGTAATTCAGGAAAAACGTTAAGGTTAAGCAATGAGGCTGGCAAGCACACCCAGTAAAACAAAAACACCATTTCTAATGGCAGTTCAGTTAGGTCTTGAATTTTTATGTTCCGCTTAGAAGATAATACAATGACTAAAACTGAGGTTTTGTGGTCTGGACTCAGGAAATCAATCTTTGCGATCTAATTTGCAATTAACCACAACTTCCCTGAGGTATACGCAGTAAAGAAATGTCCCCACAACAGATACTTGCAGTAAAATCTGAGGCACTATTCAGCAGTCGTAAAATATATCAAAATGCAAAGTTACTTCAATAATACCATTAGGCAACTAAACAGATCAAATTACATCTCAGGTGCAGAAAAGTACTATGCAACAGAATTGTAATCCTCGCATGATCTTCTCCAAGTTAGCCTCGTACTGACGACCCACTCGTCGCTTCGCATTTGAATTCCACTCGAGGAATGGCCTGGCTGACATGCAATGTCATTTGACGGTCTCCTCATTGTATGCCCGACCTATCTCCATTTTCTCCTACATATTTGTTCAGCGATCGGCTGTCGCTTGTTGGTTTGTTTCCAGCCGGAGTTTCTTATTGCTAATTCTCTCTGAACATTTGAAATTCAGTGGGGAACCAGCAAAGGAGGCAGCTGTTGATAAATGTCTGCAGCCTGTTGTAAATACTTTCCGTGATTCAAGCGCCAAGTTTCTGACCCATATAAAAGAACTGACTTCACATTTGTGGTGAAAATGCGAATCTTGTTCTCCACGCTGGCAGAGTGCAGAAAGTTACCACACTGATTTCAGAGTCATGAAGGCGTATCTTGCCTTTCCGAATCTGGCCGGCTTTGACATCTTTATCTGTTCCGCATGTGGTTGAAACGATGGTTCCTAGATAAATGAATGAATTAACCTCGATCAAATCTTTTCCGTTGATAGTTATTGGTGCTGGTTGTACTTGGTGGTTGATTGGTTATTTTCATCACCTCTCTAAACTATGTTCACTTGGAGTCCAGTCTTCCCTGCAAGCATCTTCTACAGGTTTGTTGCTTATCGCCTGTTAGTCTTCGAGTTTGTGTGACATTAAATATAAATCCTGTGAAATAAAGATCTTCTAAAGTCTTCTTGTGATAATAAGCAGTCAGCCTTGCCTTACTCCTGTATTCACGCCTCGCTGAGTTTCCTGTTGTGGATCTCCTGACACGTGCCACTGTCACATAGCCAACTGTTGAGTGAGGTTAATAAAGACTTATCTACTGTACGCAATAGCGTTGAAGTAGTTTTCAGACTACTTCTCGGTCAGCGCTATCGAAGGTCTTTTTGAAGTTGGTGAAGTTAAGGTACAGGTTCGACTGCCCTTCAATGCTTTTTTCAATGACAGTATGTAGAGCTGCAATTTAATCAGCCTTTTCTGAATCCGGTTTGCTATGGGAGGGCTGGATTTTGCTGCTTTTCGAGTTTGTGTGACATTTACAACAAGGTAGGGTCAATAGCATATCAGCAAGAACCATACACCAAATAATTCCCACAAACAGTCTGAGGTCATGATAACCTTGATTCCCTCAAGTAAAAACTCAGTTGTAAAAAACAACATATAATCAGTATCATTACACAACCACAAATAATACGAATTAAGTTAACAGATGATCTGCAAATGTCAGAACAATTATGTACAGTCTAAGAAAAACCAGGATAATAAATACAAAGTTAGTTGTTACATGCAAATAAAGTATCAGTAGTGAAATTAAACTGTTTAAAAGGGATTTCCCAAATAATTGTTCCATTACAAGTAACAATTGGAGAAATCCCTTACAATAGGCTTTATTTAGAATATTGTCTAACCCAAGTTCCTTGTGGATATACCAAAAAAAAGAATGTTTTTCCCTTGACGAGGAGGCGAATGGAATTAGTCACAGACCCGCAGAGATAAATCCCTCCATACAAGTTTTCATATGTGATGTTACGCTAGCTTAACTGAGTAATTTATGAATTCAGATTTCCATTCCATATATTGATTTATTCTTGTTTTCTGTATTATAATTTTCAGTAAATTTCTCTGGCGAATGTATACCTTAGGAATAGGACATGAAGCCTGCTTGGACTTTTTACGTAAACAAGCCAGTGCAACTAATTTACCTGCTGGTAAGTTGTTAATATAGCCCAACATCTTCCTAAGATTACACAAGTTATATCTACGACTTGAAATGATCACAGTAAGTTTAGACAGTGTACTAGAATTGCTTGCATGAATGCCATCCTTAGTCCAAGATGTAGGTGCTGCCTCCGAGGAGTATTGGGCGGCTATCTCTTTCTATTTTGCACTCTTCAGCAGTGCGTCCCTATTGCCCCACCATAGGTAGAACCTAGGGCTTTCAGGTTAGAAGGCGAGCTCCTTGACTTTCAGTCACTGAGACGGAATACAATAGCCCGTCAATTCTAAATTCTGCAGATTCCCGATATGCACCGTGACCACCAACCAATGTCATCGGTGAGTATCTGACCTCATCCTCACCTTGGTGGACCCCGCTGATCATGGTTCCCCACCAGAATTTCAGACATGTCGACAAATGCCCACCGAGGGCATTGGCTGGTGATAGCACTATATATCACGAATTAGCAGGAGTTGGAAGTCACAGGCCAATGAATTCTGTACTAATGGCTCTATAGTCAAGGATGTCGCCTTATAAACTGATGATATTGGTGAAGATGGGTGCGTACCACTTAAGCATCCTACTATTTATTTATTGAAGCACGAACCTGGTAAATTAGAGGGATAAACAAATGCGCCACAGTTTGTATGTAGGCTGGGATACTGCCGGGACGTCCAAACCTTAGCAAATGATTGTCTTAATAGGCCTCTCTAGAGCCTCTGACTTAAATTCGGATCCCCAAGACAGTAGAGTAGCGTCATAAGGTACGCTCCAATGGTTACCAGCAGTCAAAACGGGTTCATAAGTCAGTTGATCCCCTGGGCTTCTGCAGGTCATATACATTGTAGGTTTGGAATCAGGGTCTCCAAGGTCAGGCTCATATTAGCGCCAGGTGTTCACGTTCACTCCCACAGCGGGAAGGCAGTGAATGAAACTTATATGGGAGTGACTTCGAACGCGTGGATATATGAGAGCATTTCGAAAGGAAAGCCGAAGTGTACCCACACTACTGGTCGTACTAAGTTGGTCGAAGAGTCCTAAACAAGTACAGAATAAATGTCCAAAACTCCCTGGTTTTCCGTGATTCTCTGATTTATGTCAGTTTATATAATCAAAGTTGACATCAATCGAATGCCTGCAAACCAACACGTGTAGTCAATTATCATTGTATTTAATAGTGCTGAATGCCCTCAAATTTGATTGGATATAAATTTTAACCAATAGGAATAAAGACTCCATTAAATATTGATTTAACATTTTCATTTAAAATAATTATACTACTGAATAAATGGATTATGTTTAAAAGTTTGTTAGAATTAAATTTATTTCTTTTTAAATGTCTCATTTCGCAAAAAAATCATCCAGCTTTTGATAATTAGGATTTATTACATTGGTATATAACTACGAAATCCTTGACAAAATTTTCCCTGACAAGACAGCAATTGGAGTTTTCAAAAACGTTGTAATTAGCCGGTGTATAGTGTTCAGATACTAAGCATAACTTATATTTGTCAAATATAAATACAAAACTGAAATAAACGCCCCGTCAAAGTAATTAAACATGAAATTAAGACACAATAATATGGCAGTTTCATACATTTGGTTCTCTTGATAAATTTCGATAAAGGACACTGTAAGACAGAGCTTTGTTAAAAAATGCTCAAAGGAAAATAGGTATCCAAAGGGACTAATCCAATAATGCAGCAAAGAAAAGGACGAGGAAACGAAATATTCACCAGTTGAAAAGAAGAAAGTGTTTATTCGTTTCCCATTCCATGGAGAAGCGGCATCACAAAAGATTTACAGTTGAATGAAAGCACCAATTAAAAGATGCTTCCCTGAAGCTAAGCTCGTAATGCTTTACAGCATCAAATGTTCTATAAGCCAACCCTAATTGTGTAAGTACCCTGCTGATTTCACCTCCAAATGAGTTTAGAAATTTACGTGCACTTGCAGGAGCAAGTACATTGGAAGGTCAGTGAGAACGGCTTCCTTCCAGTTTAATGAGCATGTCGCAGTAAACTTATGTTTAAAAGGAAAGAGATATTCGCAAAATGCAATTACCAGATACCTTGTGGACAAGGGTCACTTCAACCGACATTTCTAGATCCTTCAAGATATTAAACATGTAATGGACAGAAAATCTACTACAATTTTCCGAAGCAATCGCAGTCAAGCATTTCAAGCCAAACTTATGCACATACAGAAAAGGAGAGTGTATTCAGTCTTTGACCCCTTGGTAACAGCTGTATTTTGATTACGCTGGTTAGCCATCCATATTAGTGATTTTAGATCACTGAGATAGTTTCCAATTTTATGCGCCATAACCTTCTTGAGTTGTTATTTAAACCTGCTCCTCCTCTCCCTCTACCTCCTTTTCTATTTTGAAAATTGCAACGCTTTTATTTCGGATGTATTGATTGCATAATGTTTTCTCTAATACCATTCAGACACCGAAGTAGTTTGCGGTTGATGAGGACGCATGACATAGAATGATGGCATCATTTTATACTGTGAATCTGGTCTTTCTTTATTTGTCGAAGTATTGAAATCCCCCTAGTGCTTCAACAAGACATCGCCATTTATTTCTGTTCTATGTAGTCTTGTTTAGCTCGCTCCACGATGTCCCACCAGCTTTCTGTTCTTCTTCATACTATGTCCTCGATGAATGCCAAGCCCGTATCTCTCTTCCAATTCGGATTCGCCCCGACACCTTGGCACGTGGCATCACTTAATCGGCTCCTTATTGTACTTCCAACCCATCTATAATTTTTGCTGCATGTTAGTTTGGAAATAGATTCTTGGGTGGTTCGTTGTCAAAGTCCCCTGCTGTTTTTTCTTTCCGCCTAACAGACAGTCGGATTTTCAGTACTGAACAAAGGTAGATGTTGATGGAGGTGTGTAACTTGTTGGAAAGTCTTTGAACCTTGTAGAAGTACCCAGTGATTTGACATTAGTATTTGAAATATAAATCTTGTACTTTATGCTGATTGCATTGGATTTTCGCATTGATTTTGGAGCAATGAAGATGTGTCCTGCTTTTATGATCCTTGCCGGTTTTGAAATTCCCACCTCTTCCACCTGTATAGCAGACATACACTTCGTGGAGATTGGTGTATATGTTTCTCTGAGCAGTTTTTAATTACTTAGATAAAAGATGAAACGAAAGCAGGAGTAATTAAAAATGTGATAGGATCAATATCCTGAAGTTCTAATGACAAATCGCCATACTGTGGATCCTAACGCGTTAGGAAAATGTTTAGGTTCATCGATGGTATTAGTTTGCGGCAGAACTATTCATAAGAAGTTAAGACTGACCAATCAATAGATTTGAATCCGAGTGCTAAATATTGAGTGCACTCTGCTAAAAAGTTTCAGGGAGGGGATAAATAAGTGTCCAATGTTTCCTGATTTCCAGTGGTTCCTCAGTTTATCAACTTTGAGAATAAATAAGTTGTTCAACGATGGCCTCTCACAGAGCAATGCCATTTTTTTATTCCTTTACCTTCCCAGTGGAACATAGGGCTTAAAGCTGGAGGCTTGTTGTTTCGGGAGCAGTGGTATCTATTTTTACGGAATGGGGATCCTAGCCTCATGCCTTCATGCCTAAGCTTCTCCGTTATTCAGTCTTATTACTGACTTAGTTACGTAAAGTAGTGCGTCGGCCGGGGATCCAACCCCAAACCACCTGCATGGTTGGCGAGTAATTCTACCACTGTACCACCGGCGCACAATGCCGCAGTTTTAAGAAAAATATGAAAGCTACTCTGATAATAGTTACCGGTTTTTCAGCTTCTTTCCAACATTTTAAGTGGTAAATTGTTCTAACCTTTTAAGATGAGGTCCACAATATGTTCCCTAAGTTTATGGATGAAATCACTTAATAAAGGATGGTAATTAGCAGGTAATGAATGTAGAAACGCTTCTTCAAAGACATTTTGTCGGCAGTTAAGACACAGAATCACTAGATATCTCCACATTATAAAGTTTCATACAAATGAGGGCAAACTATAGCCATCAAAGAGTTTTAAGCCGATCCTCCGGGGTTTGGATTTTTGTGGGGAGCTAGAATAATCCAAGTTAAAGTAAACCGTTCAAAATTCCAGTCTACCCTTAGGAACTTCATCAGTCTTTTCTCCCGCTACCAATGCACATATACACAAGAATATCAAGATACATGATACTTTTAAATCCTTTTAATCTCCCACCACCAGCGGTTAGTGCAGGAGAAACTTCAGTCTACTTAAAAAAACGACTTTATACTACAATGATAGAATGTGCATGCAATGCTTAAAAACGCTATTCACTTCTAATAACTGAAATGTCTCGATTGTATGATGGAAAACATTTCCACCTGTCGTGTAGAAGACTCAGGTTCTATTCCCAGCCAGTAGTGGGCTCATAAAATTAAGAAGGTTGAGCTTTGGGCTTGCAAACCTTACCCTTTGTAATAAAAATGACACAAACATTCCTATAACTTTAGAAGCCTAAAGCCTGAAGAAAGTAACCTTGGAAACCACCTTACGGAGAATTCTTAACGATGTAGGCAGGAGTAAAAGTGGCATTCAAACAAACAAACTCAATTAGAAACAAACTTTGTCGGTTAAAGGATAAATCGTGCAGAGCCTTTAAAACAAAACAACTTAGTTTATCCAATATTCTGCTTGAATGATTTTCAGGTCAAATAAATGGCTCAAAGTAGTAGAATAAGTGCAGTCAGACTGACGAAGCACAGAAACCTAGCAGCAAAATCTAGATTAGTTGACCCGAATAACATAAGAAATCTGGAGAATAATTCAGCTGTAGCACTACACCACATGCAACTGCACACAACTATGCAATAGGATGGGATGAGATAAGATGACAGTTTTAAAATCTGTCACAGAGTGGAGGGAGAGATCAACAACGGAAGCTTTCTTTATCGAATCAACTGAAAATACAAGTAATAGGAATGATTCAACACCTATCCCAGAAATCTGGAAAATTCTACTA